ACATTTATGACAGAGTTTTTGGAAAAACTGCGGGTGGAGTTTCAAGGTGTCAAAATACATCAAACACAAACTTGTTTTAAATTTTATGGCGAACTATATGGCTACAAGACTTGAATAAAAGGCAACTTGGCCTTAAATGAGTGTTACAAGATCCAATTACCTCGAGTGAACATCCCAGACAAATCACCGTGACTGATTTTTAGAACCATTGGCTTGATATCAACTGGTGTGGTCGATCCTAGAATTGCTAAATAGGGCGGAACTTGAAAAATAGAACTCGACCAATATTTTGTTAAACTTGGCCTTTAATGAGGTCAATCAATATTCAAGGTAATCTCTGGGGTTTTAAATTCATTAAAACATTGTAAGACCGCTAATTTCAAGTCTCGACCTAGGAAAATGTACGTTGGGCTGATTTTTACTCATGTTGTTTGTTGTCCGCGTTACCCTTTTTTGTCTCGAATCACCATGGCACTGTACAATTCTTTTTAATATGAACTCACAAAGCGCGGGATGGCTTTTCGACGACTTTCCATAACCCTGCTAAAATCTAGGTGGCGAGATAACAAGATTGCCTCGCTTTAAAGTGACAAAATTTTAAGGCTCTTACTCCTAATTGTAACGATATGAGAAAGTAAGATTCCCAGGTAAGGTTGTAAAGTTGCANAACAAGATTGCCAGGCTTTCAGGTGACAAAAGTTTAAGGCTCTTACTCCTAATTGTAACGATATGAGAAAGTAAGATTCCCAGGTAAGGTTGTAAAGTTGCAAGGAAAACCAGTAAGGCTACATGCTGTAATGATTTTCCGCCGCTATAAATACGGAAGGGTGTAATGTGTGGCTGTGAAGTGCACGGCTATGATTTTATAAATCTGTAACGTTAGAAGCTGTAACGTGAAATGCTTTAACTATGCAAGAATGCAAGGCTGTATAACTGATAACCCATGAGGGCTCTAACATTGGTATACTGTATATATGAGGGGCTGTATATGCAGCGCTGCAAGGCTTCCCTATATTAAAGGAACAAGATCACAAAGTTGCATACTAACCTAGTTGTTCAATTTTTGACTGTAAATCGCACAGAAATGGAAGCAAGAACAACCGATGCAATTAATCACCAAATGCGACATCTTAGCATTGCTAAAGAGATGGGGGACAGGGCTGGAGAAGGACGTGCCTACGGCAATCTTGGAATTGCTTATCAAAGAATTGGTGATTTCAAACAAGCCATAGAGTACCACATGCTCCATCTTACCATAGCCAAAGAAGTGGGAGACAGGGCTGGAGAAGGACGTGCCTACTGCGGTCTTGGCAATGCTCATGACAGTC